TTCTAACTGGGCAGGGCTAGCTTGTTTAGTGGAGTTGCTAGTGTTAACAACTAGGTGGCCTGTGAAAAAGGCAGGCCCCAGGTGCAAAAGTTCCATCATCCATTGATTTTAGTGAGGTTTTTAACAGTCCACTGCACATTTTGACCTTCCCAGCCAGCGGGTGGGTGACAGGGAATATGATACACCCACGTTTTCTAGCCGAGGTGTCCATGAGACTCTTTGAAATGAGTCTCATTGTGTCGCTCAATTCTTTCTGGGGTGYCACATAGCCACAGGACAGGCACATGGCACAGGGTAGGTCTCCAGCCACCTTGTGGTTGCTTCTACCACTGTGAGTACGTAGTGCCTGCCTTGGCCAGAGTGCCACARTGCAATGAAATCCATATACCAGGCCTCTCCACGTTTATATTTAGCCCCTTGTCGCCCATACCAATGGGCTTTACCCACTTGATTGCAGTTCATGTTTCTCAGTTATGGATCACATGGAATGTGGTGGAGTCCACCATTCACAAGCCCACTGGTATGTCACATCTCTTCCCTCATGACCTGAGGCATCATGGGCCCACCAAACTAAAACTAACTGTATCTTGTGTTGCCAGCCCTTGCGTTGCTACTTTTAATTTTGACAGTCCAAGCCACCCGTTTGTTGTTGCAGTACTCATTAGCCTGACTTACAGGCACATGCACATCCACTTGACAGACTTTCTTGGTCAGCTTCTCTACCCAGGGAGCAGTGTCTAGCCACACTTTGGCAGCCCAGATGGATTTTCTTCTTTGGTGCCAATTGGCCTTTTTCCATCGTTCCAGCCACCCCCAGAGTGTTTGCTATAATCCACAAGTCAGTATAGAGGTATAGCGTTGGCCACTTTTCTCACTCAGCAATATCCAAAGCCAGATGGCTTTCAGTTCTGCATCCTGACTTGATCCACCTCTGGTAGCTTCTGTGACTTGCTGCTTAGGGCTCCATATGGCAGCTTTCCATTTTTGACTTGTCCCTATGATACAGCAGGAACCATCAGTGAAAGAGTRTATCGCTTTTAACTTCCTGGTGGCTGGATATAGGGTGGTGCCTCCTCAGCATAACTCAGCTGCTCCTCTTCCTCTTCAGATGATAGTCCAAAACTCTCATCTTCAGGCCAGTTTGTGATGATTTCCAATATCCCAGGGTGATTAGGGTTTCCCATCTTAACTGGCTGTTGTCAGAGCGATCCATTTACTCCAAGGCAGCATTACTGGTATGAGGTGTTGAAGGGACTTTCCCCTTGAACATTCAACCCAACACTGCCCATCGTCATCCTGCCAGGTGACTGGATTTGGTTTTGCATTTCCTCCTTTGGACAGAAGCGACTGCTTAGGCTGCCCATCTTGTTTAACTGCAGCCTGAGTGACTGTGGTGGCTGCCAATTTGTTTTCCTTCTCCTGTGGCTGTAGGTGCTGCTGTACAGTAACAAGAAGCATATGGTAAGCATTAGCCAGGGCCCAGCACACAGCAATAAGCTGCCCCTCTCTGGAACTGCCACATCAATTTTATTTAAAATATTTTCCCACCTTATCAGGGTTTTGCATTTGTTCAGGGGAACTTCCAAACTACTGGAGCAGWATACTTCTTCAAAACTATTCTTCAAAAGCCCATTATCTCCTACATCCCATGCCACTCGGTAATTTCCACCACTAGGGCAGGTGTGTCCACAACCTCCGTAGAAATCTCCATCCTGACTCTAAATGTGTTGTGGACTGTACAGAGGAGACAGAGCAGAACCACCAAGCACAATATGGTGTCCTTAATATCCACAGGGAAATCAGCATTCTCAAGAAGTGACGTGTCAGACCTGAAGGAAGAAACGAGGCGAAAGGCTGGGGAAAATAATCTTTTCCTGTTCCCCCAAYAGGCTGAGTGTGATTATTAATAAACTCCCAGATGCAGCAGCCCAGATCAGGATAAGCAAACAACAATGAATTCATCTACCAAATTATCTTTGTTGCCTTTGATGTTACCATTCCATAAACTGATCTCACAAACTGTATCAACTCTACCTGGGCTCCTCTCCCTCATCTGAGGAAGAGCACTATCACAGGCAGATGGTTCCCTGTGTATGGATACATATACAAGGTTAGTCATGGCCACACTGCCATGACTAGACCAAGCAATCTGGTGACCAAGGAGTTCTGTACCCAATATAGAAATGTTCTGGTCAAAATTGTTATTTTTTCCACTTTTTCTCTTGAGCCCCTTTTAGTTGGGTGCCAAGTCTTCGTTTAAGGCAGTTTTACAGGGCAGAGACTCTGCAATAAGTTACCTTCCTTTAGTTTTCAACCTCTCTCCTCCACCAAMAAGGAGAGACAAAAAATCCAGTTCATTGAAAGAAAACAGAAATAACCAAGAAATACAAAGGCAAACAATTAAACCCGCACCAACAAATGCAGAGGAGGTCCTTCTAACTGTCTGGGGAACACAGACAAAACAGGCCATGCAGCCAAGAGAGAGAACAAAGGAAGGAACACAGCAGATGAGCATCCGTTTGGTTCCATAACTGCCTCCTTCCCCAAGCAACAAAGGGAGTGGGGAAAAAAAAAAATCCTAGAAAATGTATTTTTCTCCAAAAGGAGTCAAGGCTACTGAAATGCTGGAAGAAGCTTCTCAGCAGATGTAGGACCAACCCCCCTCAGCTGCTGGAAACTTATGGAGCGGCTCCAGCCCTTGGCAACAGGCGGCTGTCCTGAGCAACAAGCATCGGAAAGTTCAGAGAAACATCTCCCCTGGCTCCAGAAGCGCTGGTTGCTATAGCAACCCGTGGCAAGGGTCACTGTTTTTTCCATCAGTTCCTGGGAGGCTGTGGCTAGCAGCCTGTCAGAGCGCCCTGCTTTCTAAGGTTCTCAAGAGTCTGGAAAGAACAAAACAGAGAGCTCCACGTGTCTGTTCCATGCTTTGAAAGGAAGCCAGCACCCCCTCCCCTTTCCATGAACCGGGGTAAAACACAGAGGTTCTGCTTCCAACCCTGGGTCTTAAAGACACACTAAACTACCTTGGACGGATTGAGGCAGAGAAGATACGGAATACTGGATTTTGGGACACCCCAATGCTAAACTGCGCCTCCAATCTCTGTAACRGTCCTTCTAAGCAAAGTTCCTCTACTTAAAAATGTGCAAGAAATCAAATTAATTAAAATTAATCCCTCAACTGGTTGTAGTAGTGTTTCTGAATAACTCTGAGAACCATAAATTGAAATTAAGTCTTGCACAACTTCTTACTAGRTTTAAAGAGAAAGTACATTACCAAAAGTAAAAAGGGAAACTCTGCTAAACAGAATTCACTTGGGGATGCTTGCAAAAGTGACTGTACTGAAGGCTCATACAGCCAGATTTTGTATCATAAACCAGAGAATAAAGCAGGCAGACATAGCAATTAATTGTACCTAGTGTTAATATTCACATAAGGTTAAGTATGATAGCAGTTACATATGAGTGGAGTAATAGAAAGTTAATTATTGCAAAACTCTGATCATAGATATTCAGTGCTTATAATTTCATTCATAGCATGCTTTGGTAGTTCAGATACTCTTTCAGGCAGTAATATGGGTTGTCACATTCAGTTTTTAAGGTAAAGGTGTGAAGGATATATGCTAATTTATACATATTCATTGAACATGTTTTTTCCTAATTGTTCTTTAACAATGAGATTTTACTACAAAGCACTTGTTCTCCTTCTGATTTTAGTAAGCTTTTAAATAGATACAAAAAGTGTAGCCCATGCTCTATTGACAATAATGACTGTTCTCTTGCAAATATGAGGAGTGCAATAGAGTCGTCCCACCATTCTGTATTATGATTTATTCACCAATCTAAACTTGTATATGGCATCTGACTTTTCCAGTCTGAATGAGGACCAAAGAAGTGTGGGGTCAGGATTAAAGTGTTGCTCCTAACAGTTTCCCAAAAAAGCAGTCCTTGTTCTTCTGATTTTTTACATCTCTTACTTTTCAGAATGGCTTTTACATCTCTTACTTTTCACTCCTATGGCTCATTTATAATCTATTAGATTTAATACTTGAAAATGTGATTTCTGGCTTTAGTATTGATGCTTTACCTTTTGTCCTCAGCTGGTCTGAAGTGGGAGCCTACACTTTATTATSTAAGAACAGAATGAGATTAATACTCAGGGGATATCAAATTCCTAAATATCCAGGGAACTTATAAACAAGATGGAGCCACAGAACTCAGAACTTGATAGGCACAGGTTATACAAAGTTTACCTGACTACATATCAGCATTATTGCTGCATTTGTTATCTGATTTTCTTGAACAGAATACTGCATACTTTTATGGTTCTACATTTGACTACTACTAAATATAAAAATCATCTTCATAATCTTTCAATTTTTCAGTTTTAGTGGTAAATTAGTGGTATTTACCTCTAAATCCTAGACTAGGAATGAGTATTGAAATTTATGTAAATGAGTGTGACTACGTGGGGAAGGAAAAATCTGATGTCATTTATTTTTGGTTAGATAGTTATACCTGATTAAGAAGTTAAAGAAACAAAGAGCCAATCAGTTTTGTGGTGTTTTGTAAAATAGTACTGTCACTGCCAAAGAATTGTGACAACTCACATTAAAATATTTGGGTTGGACTTCATGTGGTGACATTTCACTGCAAACTTAAGAGAGTATTGAGAGCATCTGCTTAACTTCCAAAACGTGTGTTAGCTCTTCCACTTTTTCTCTGCACGTTTTACAAGGTTTCCACCTCTACCAATGTGTGTGTGACACATAAAACTGAAAAAAGTACTGTTGCGATAAATATAAGTAAGATTTTGTAGTAGCTTTGACAATTTGTGTCAATTGCCTCATGGCCATGCCAAGTTCTATGTGGCAACGTTTTTGGGGACTGTAATTTGTATGATTCATTAATTTCAACTCATTTAGCCACTGTATTTTTTAACTCATTCTAAATACTAGTTTAAAACACATTAAAAAATTAATAAAATGTTCTTTTTATTTCAGGTGGGAGATGAAAGAAGATGCAGATCTTGAAGATGAGGAGGCAGTTATGGTGGAACACTTAAAGAATGTTTATTTGACACAAAGCACTCCTATCTCAGAGGATATAAAAGAACAATTACCTTAACTGATTTTGGGTAGCACCTTTTTTTCTGAATTCAACAAGATTAATTTAATGCCATAACTCACAGGACTAGAGAGTTCAAAAAAATGTATCATGAGTTTTAAACTAGAGTATTCCCCTGTTATTATCTGATCACCTCATCCAGGAAGCAATTGTTAATACTTGGATAAGGTGAGCAACAATACAAGAAAGTGTCATTGTCACGAAACAAGGAGGGTTTATCACATTACTGCAGAGGCACAAACCTGAACAACAAACTAAAAGTTGTTTTAAAAATATAAAACTCACTCTTAAAATAATGAAACTTTAGACACAGGCTAAGCAAATACTCCTGGTTTCCATCCACTAGTTTGGAGCTGATGTAGCCTGCTCCCAGTTAATGTCACTCAAGGACCTTTTCTCTCCTTTGGTGCTTGTATATTAAATCACCCAAAATACATGAAAAGGGATGGTATAGACCATATACCTACAGGACTTTTTGAATTGCTCCAGGATAAGTAAGCTTGGTCATTATTCCCAATTAAAAATGCATCAGCTTTGCTGCTCTCACAAATCTTCATTTGAACCCAGTGTATTTTATGGCTTTAAAAACACATTATAAAGAAACTTTAGAAATTTTGAGAAGCACTTTTCTGTTTAAAAGAATTATTTACAGGCAGTGCTCCGAGGATTTTCTTAACAGTGAACTGAGAAAATAATAAGGAATTTAATATTTATTTTTGATAAATATAGTAAAATTTCATTTTCAAAGTAATCTTCGTTTGATATTCAAAATTTTGTGACTGGTAAATATTTTTCTGAATGGTAAATATTTTTCTAACACACTTGTTACAACTATCAACATGGCATTATTTTTTACACAGAAGTTATGGTTAGCATGTCTTTAGCTCTACAGAAATAATCCATAATTTTTCTGTTAGTTTCTTTCATTGGAAGTCCAATGGAACTGTTTTCTCTGCCTGATGAAAGACTCTGGCAAGATCTTGCTAAGGGTGCAATCTGAGCAGAGTTWTTCATGTTCCCAGCACATCTTCATAAAGATGCTATTGTGGACATAACTTAGACTACTTGAATATAAAGTATCAAACCATTTAAAATAAAAATGTGGACAATTTTGTCTCACAAATCTCTAAAGATCTTGTTACAACACTGCATCAACAAAAGCGCTGTGAGGCACTGGAGCTTAAAAATGCTCAAAATAATAATTAAAGAATAAAATAGAGTTTTCCTGCCAGTGTAATAATTTCAGATTGAAAGAAGTGTAAAAACTCTTTGTCTTTGCTTTGCATTTTACCTTTGAAGATTAGTGGTGAACTTCAGGTTTAAAACATGTCTACAGGGATCATCTGTGATGGCAAGTTTAGTATTCTGACAAATGAGGCACACATGCTCCGAAGCCATACAAATAACGTATTTGTGTACATGGAAACTGGAGTTCGGAATATTCTCTCCTATTTTATCAAAATCTATTGTATATAATTAACTTTTTGTATAGTCACATAAAGTGCGTGTGTTGTGAAACTGGTTGAAATACTTCTTGTGAAAATGCTCCCCTTCTGGGGAATACCTACTCTGAAGAGGATAAATTTTGCAAGTGAATAAGCTAAGTGAGAATAAATCCCCTCACTTACACTTAAGTGGGAATATCCATAAAGGGAGTTATTCCAAAATGGTTATTATCCTCTAAATTCACAGTGCATGGGGTTCTGGAGTCATGTGTAAGCAGCCATATTTTTTAAAATATCATTCTTTATGTCCCTTCCTCCTTTCTCTCCCTGCCACATTAATTCAGCAATGAACCATGGGGCAGCAGTAGGACTGCTTTTGTCTTTCCCTTTATGATTATAKAGTCCAGCTCTTAACCTAGCTCTGGCTTCCCACCACCAAACCGTGTCCCAAAGTACCACAACACATCTTTTAAATTCCTCCATGGATGGTGACTCCATCACTATCCTGGGTGGCCTGTGTTGGGGCTTGATAAGTTTTTCACTCAAGAAATGTCTCCCAGAATCCAATCTAAAACTACCTTGGCACAGCTTAAAGCCATTTCCTTCCATCCTGTCACCTCTTACCTGGGAGAAGAGGCCAATCCCCACCTGGCTACTGGCAGCTCTACAGACCGATAAGATCTGTCTCCCCTCAGACTCCTTTTCACCAGGCTTAACATGCCCAGATCCCTCAGCTGCTCCTGATCCGATTTGTGCCCCAGACCCTTCCTCTGTCCAGCTCCATTGTCCTTCTCTGGACTTGCTCCAGAACCACAATGTCTTTATTGTCATGACGAGCCCAAAAATGAATCCAGAATTCACCAGTGCTGAGTAAAGGGGGACAGGGGACAGGACCACTTCCCTGGTCCTGCTGGCTGCACTATTTCTATTTCTGCCATTGACAGTCTTGGCTACCTGGGCACACTCAGGCTCATGTTCAGACAGCTGTGGACCAACCATTTTTCTGCGGTGCTGTTTTCCAGTCACTATGCCCCACACCTATGGCATTGATTGGAGTTGTGACCCAAACAGATGTTGATCCTCATTCACTGGCTTCAGCCCACTGATCCAGCTTGTCCAGATCCCTTGTAAGGCCTTCCAACCCTCCAGCAGGTCAACACTCCTGCTCAGCTTGGTGTCATCTGCAAACTGACTAATCCCTCATCCAAATAATTGATAAAGATAATAAACAGGATAATCCCCAATACTGAGCCTTGGGGAATCCCACTTACGACTGGCCAATTACTAATATGCATAAGACCATAACATAAAAGCTAAACCTTTGCACAGTATTTTATTTGGATCTTTTTCTATCCAAACCTCTATATGCATCTTTTAAGAGTATCTGAGTGCAAGTGAATGTGTGTTTCAAATTGAACTTAAACCACAACCTTACTTAGAAATACCAGGGTTTGATTTTGCTAGCAATGTAACCATTCCAATAACTGACCTTTAGGGTATAAAAAAGACATCATCTTGGCAATAGCACTTAATGCTGAATGCACATTTCTACAACATTCATATTTGATTGAACAGATATTGTTCAATCAATTTACCATAATAATTAGAATTGTATAACTAAGACTAATTGTACAACATGTTGTTAAGTAACATGTCATTAATTTATCAAAATGGCTTGTTTTAAACTTTAATACTTAATTGAGGAGTGACAGAGCTGACCGTTTTTCTATTGCATAGATGTATTCCACAGATGTTTGTGTATAAAATTAGGAATATTTGTACAATTCTAAGACTGCTGGTTTCTTTGGCTTTTCTTCATAAAACTATAGTTCTATATTCTTTAAAAAGTTCTGCTGATTCTAAAATTAACAAGATTAAATTAATTTTTGAGAGTAATGCAATGTCCTGTCTCTTTTACACTACTTATTGATCCAGGAATGTGCCACATATGTTTTGCCTAAACAAATGAAAGCAATAGGAGTCAGATTTGTTAGCTACAGTGTGGGTCCTGTGTTTCATGACCACTGCAATCTGATCATGGAAAGCTGGTCAAAAAAAAGAGCTAAAGTCCATTGTGTACAACAGGCCTTTCTAAGTGGGTCAGAGATGGCCTCATTGGCTCAACTGAGTTAGCTCAAAAGGAAGGTATGGTATTTATAGAAACTAATTGAATCAGATACTACAAACTAGGTAACTATACAATATTATTGATGCTCACACCTAATCATCATTTAACAATTTCATATACTTAGCCCCTTTTACAAAACAGGCTTCAATAGGAGACTTGATGGCATAGAGTATCTCTGATTAGGTTTGTTTAATGTCCCCTTCAGAATGCTCCAAATCTTAACATCTTTTATCTTTTGAAAGGCAATTAATAAAATTAGAAGCAGGGTAAATTTTAAATTGCTTTAACAATGATGAAACTGAAAAAGAGAGGAGAAACAGATATTTTTGGAATAGACAGGCGTTTAGACACAGCCCTGCTTTCTAATGACTGCTGGCCTGACAGACTCCCATAGATCATGCATCATTCTAGGAGAGGGAATTTGACATGCAACTACACTATTTGCTCAGGAAATACATGCAATGAAAATGGTTGTTCTCTAATTCACCTCTATCTCATCACAGCAGTGCATGGTAGGCATGAGGCTGGCTTCTTCCAATTAGCTTCTTCTGGAAATATTCCATTTCGCTCTCAGCTGGGAGGTCTTCACAAAGTACTAGTGAATCTCATGTACAGTAAAACATCAATTATATGCTAATATAATACTATTTTATGGAGCCWCTTAAAAATGTGTGCAATCATTTCTAGTGACAAACACTAGTCACACAGAATTAGACCCACTGTCCAATTGGACAATGAGATTGAAATGAGAGAGTAACTTGATGGTATCAGGGAGATTTCTAAGTGACTATATAGATCTTGAGGAGGTTCTGATTGGAGCTGTCCTGGTTTTGCTCGGTCTGGTTTTTTGGTGGTGGGGGGATGGGACCAAGAAATCACAAAGATGGATCCTGTGAGGAAGYTCTGGAAGCTTTCTCCATCTTCTCCAGCAAAAGAAGCCTTGTGTCCTGTGTTTTAGAACCAATCCATTGTGGCTCTGAGGTTGATGGACAGGCTRCTGCTCAGGCCTGGGCCAATTGCACAGGTTGGTTACACCTCTTTGATTACRTATGGTCTTGTACTTAAGAATAATTCAAAATAAGTTAGGGGCAGCCGCCATGGAGTGTTTAGGTTGTTAGTATTTAGTTTTAGTATCACACACTGGGGAAAAACAGACCAGGAGGGTGAAGAGATGCAAGAAAAAATGGAGACCCAAGATGACAGTAAGGAGAAGACAGATATTGTTGCTGTGGTGCTTGAACATGGAGAAAACAAGCTGTTCTCGAAAGGACTATTTCTTCAATGAGAGACCTGTATAGAAAAGAGAGGCCCTGCACCTAAGATAAAGAAGAAAAACCTTGTCTTGGAGGACTGGACTGATCATAAGCCAAAAAGGGGGAAGAGGTGGCCCCCCTATGTCTGAAGTGAGTCGATGCTTAGAAGGAACTGTGTTCTGCCAGGAGATTTGAGAGAGTGGCCTTGCCCTCAGAATGAAGCAGCTGGCCTTGGAGGACTGTCTTCCTTTCTCCCAAGAGGTAAAGAAAAGGAATCCCATGCCACCAGCAGTTATACACTGACTCTTCTTGGGAAAAGAACTTCCACTGCTTGGAGCTGCAAGGACTCTTCTCCTATGGTGCTGGACGATAACCGTAATGAGTAGTCTGATCTATGTTAAAACTTTCATCCCTGCCCCCCTTGTGCAAGGACGGCATGGAGGGTGGGGAGGGATGGCCTCGGAGAGACAGGTTCGCAGAAAGAATAACAGGTGTCTTAAAATGTTCCCTTTTTTTCTTCTCATAAATTTTTCCCTGTCTTTGTTCCCCTCCCTTGTGAGGTAGTATTCTTAGTAGTCCTTAGTAATAAATCTACTTTGCAACTTAAGTTTTTTTGATCCTGTCTGACTATTTCTGGAGCATTTATGTATCTTTCTCTCAATTATGTTATCTTATCTAAAAGCCATAAATTTTAATGTTAATTGGGCTTCTGCTCTCCACTCTGCCTCTGTGGTGGTGGTGGGGGATCAGAATGTCATGGTTCTTTGGCTTTTGGCCAAGTTCAAACCACCACAGGAGCAAAGCCATATTGTAAAGACTAGCGGAATTCTGTYGTAACTTACCATATTGTAAAGTAAGCAGAAGCAGAACCTATAAAACCRATCTAAATGTAATGAGTAAAGGTGAGCTTGCTTATCCTCTGCCTTTGTGCTCCAGCACCTGAAATGCAGACTAAACTAATTGACATTTCCAGGAAGACAGTACAAGAAAAGCATGTGAGGTCTTGAGCAGGTTGGGCCGCAGGCCTTCTAATGCCCATCAGTAAAATGATGAAGGAACCACATATTCCTCTTTAGAAGCAGCATTTGAGAACAGACTGTTAACAATTATTGCAGCAAGTGAAACATTGATACAGAGATGATGGAAAAACGCCCTAAAAAATAAGAACTCATGCAAAGAAGCAAAAATGAATCTAAATACTCTTTTTTCCCCTGAAAGAAGTGTTTCTATAACAAGTGTCATAGGAAGAACTGGTAATTCCAAGTACTAATACATAAAGTGTTCTTCTGAATTAGGACCTTACCTCTGAATTTAATAGACAACTATCCCTAAGCTGACAAGAAGTCACTGAAATCATGGCTGGTACAATTTTCACTACTAGAGCAAGACCTTTCTATACATGACAACTTCAGCTGTTAGTAGCTTGCAATCATCTCTGAGAAGACACAATGTAATATCTCCTACTGAACAAAATGTGTTTATGTTAAAATAGCTCATTATACATTTTCTGCCTATGTGAAAAAACTTACTGAAATGCCTTTTGTGAAAAAGCTCCTCTCCTGGGGAACTTTTTTTTGAAATAGGATACCTTTTGCAAGTGAAATAATTTTAATTTAAGCCAGAATAAACCCCCTCACTTACTCTTACACAGTCCATACACGGAGTTGTTCCAAAATGGCTATTATCCTTTAAATTCACAACACACCTTGTTCTGGAGTAACCTGTAAACAGTCATATTGAAAAAAAAAAAAAAAAAAAAAAAAAAAAAAAAAAAAAAAAAAAAAAAAAAGAAAAGAAAAAGAAAGAAGAAACACAACACAACAAAACCTTTCTATCTCGTTCACTGTGTCTCCGCTGTGTTTCCTGTTCACTGTGTTTTCTCCCTGATGCATTAATTTGGCAGTAACCCACTGGGTAACAGTAGGATAATTCTGTCTTTCCCTACACTTGCATCGAGTCTAACCATTAACCCAACACTGCCAAGCCACATCTGCACATCTTTTCATTCCCTCCAGGGCTGGTGCCTCCAATACCATTACAGTTTCTGCAGTAAATGTTCCAAGCTGCAACTTACAGCAGCTTCAGTGTCTACATTGCCCTGAGTTACATCCATACTCTATCTAGAAATAAGGCAAAGAATTACATAATCATGATCATACTCAATAGATTTGATCTTTTCCATGTACTTTGACAAAGACAATAACATGTTTGCAATGTCAAACACAGGATTCAAACTTCATTGATGATGGAGGTTTGCTGCAACAACACAAAACTTTTTTCTTTTTAGGACAACCTTTTAGAAAAATTGTATCTTTTTGGCTCTCCCGGTAATCACATAAATTGATTAAAATTACATTTGTAAAACAAGCACTCAGTCATTAGCACCTGATGAATTATTAGCAATGCACCCATGAGTATTCTTTATTATACCTGTTAATGACATGTTTATGTGTATAGTATCCCTTGATTAATTCACTAGGGGAGGAAACATGATTATACAAGCAACTTTGGTTGTCGCTGTTGGCTAGACAGCTGATACAAAATAACAGACACAAAGACACACATATACACACACAAAAAGTAACTCCTTTGTTCTGAGACAGGCTTCTTTTATCCACTTTAGTAATCAGTGCATACATTTGTGTCACACATACATTGGTCAGTGAGGCTGTAATTTTCTACTCAACAGCATAGGATTGGTAGGTTTGCAAAAGCTACAGTATTAGTAATATTTATAATTGTAAGCTACCTGCATTATCAATTCTACATTCTAATCTCTTTTCTCAAGACAGCTAAGGACGTGGCGTTTTTTTCTCATGCAAGCTGATAACACTCCCTACATTTGGTAAATTTGTGATTGCCTAATATCTGACAATTTTATCATTTTTTCCCAAAATCTGTGGTTTTTCTATGTAAAATCTATAACTCAATAACTTTTGAATATTTGGTTTACACAAAGGAAAATAGGGTCACATTGACTTTTTCATAGGGTCATATTGACAGTGCTTTTTTCCAACCTCAATACTGCCCTTCTGGCATCCTTGACAAACTTATTGGTTTATTAATAGTTGCCATAATTTACTGTGTGAGTACTGCTGCCACTCAGTTATACATGGGTAAATATTTAATCTTCTTGACTAACTGTTGTACAGATCTAAGGCTGTATATGTAATATAGATATGGATAATAATTTCAGGTTTAAGACTTGGAACACTTCTGCTCCCAAAGTTTCATATGAATTCTGTAATTCTGTTCATCCATTGTTCTAAGCTACCTTTGTTACCTGGGATAGTGGGAGCTATGTTGTTAGTGAGTTACATTTTTTACTTAAACTAATGTGTTTTGCCCCAGATTTTATTTTAATTTCACTGAACTTTAAATTTACACTTGGAAATCCATAGCACATCTGTTTTCACAAAATACAAACATCTAATAGTACAATAATATTTAGTAAGGCCTATATCTTCTCAAATCTGATACAGTGTCTTAGAGAAGCAAGAATTCAATAAATGTAGCTCTCAAATAAACCRCCTGCAAGGTTATCATTCAAGAAATGCGGTTTCACTTGGATTTTCACCTCTCTGTGAAACAGAAATTCCACGTTTAAGGAGCTGGTTGCTAATGTAGAGGACACTCAATGTATATAGAAGTATGTACATATTCTATATAATTAATATATTTTAAATTGATTTTACTATATAGATTAAGATAATGCTTTTCTTTYAGATAATGGATAAACTTTGGGGAGGTAAAAGGTTGAAATGGCAKGTAGTTCTTGTTCTGGCATGTGAAAAGCAAACAGGTAACTTTTTACGGTAAGTCAGATGTGGCTTTGAAATTCTGTTGGCAGGAATCCTGTCTGCAGGTATGGGTTAACTTCAGCAAATTGATGGCTGAAGGAGTGCTATGAAGACTTCTTTCAGAGGCAAATGGATTAGGTCTCTTCAAATAACAGTAAATTTCMGTTAAAGCTCCCAATTTTCACACATGCCTTTCCACTTCATGAATGAAGAAAGAGAGAGGTCATTGCATTAATGCAATGCAAATATGTAATGTTAGTCATCTGGTTCCTTTACCGGAACATGGCAATCTGTTGTTTATTTCCAAGACCCATGCTAGGTCTTTAAAATTACTGACTGTACCTCCACCAGACTTTGGTATCAGCACACAGATACCTCCACTGTAGGGTGCATCTCCATCAAAAGGTGCCCTTTAACTACATAACAGAAAAGTTATTAAAGCATGTATTTGCTTTTCCATTTTCTCTGTACACAAATGTTTAAATGGCAGTTGCACAATKTTTTTAGAAGTTATATATAATACCCTGAAGCAATCATCTGCTCTAAAATGCAAAATTTATTCAAAAATCTTTTTTGGAGTTGAGGGATTGATAGTTAAGAATGGAAAAATTATAGGTGTGCTGAGTACATTCTTGCAAAAATAAATCATGTAATTTTATATTGAGATCAAATATTTCAAAATTCAAAGTACAATTAAATCGTCTGCACATATAAGAGCAGTGAAATAACTTTGCAAGGTTTGCATCATAAACCCATATATCTACCCAGAGCAAATAGTAGAACACAGACCATAAAGTTCTGTCATGAGTATTGMTTTCAATTTTTGTTTCATTCCACCAAAACTTTTCATATAATTCTGGCATTTTTTAAACAACTGTATGCAGGACCAAAGAATTATGAGTGGTAACTTGAAATATATATCATATATAATTAATCTTTACAACAAATGCAAAAGCAGTTACTGAAAAACAAAGACATAAAAGACTGTAAAATCTCAAAAACATATAATGAAGTGTAAGAGTGAATGTCACAACAGATTTATGTATGTTCAAGTTTCAGCAAAAACTGCTGAAGATGAATTTAAGAATATTTATACATCATACTGTTGGCACAATAGCAGCAACTAAAATAAATTATCCAGGAATAGGAATGTAAGAAACAGATTCAGAGTGTAAACAACAAGCTGAGTAAGAATTTTGAATTAAAGAAAACTTTCAAGCCAGAAGAGAATTTTTCCAGCCTTGCAGAGCACTCAAGAACAGTGTTGTTTTTTAACGAGTTTTCAGTATTTCGCTTTTTTCTTAAGGTTTCTAGTTTAACTGYTGTGAAGTGTTTTGGAAAAGGTAACACATAATCTTTGTGAAGAAAACATTTTTATTTTTCATGAAATGCATTCTCTATATTTATGCACTATAAATGGTATGCAAAAAGCCTATTCTATTGATGCCAAGCCAAAAGAGTAAATGAAAAGAAACTGCAAAGTCATTCTAAATTATATTTTCTCTTTTATTCTGAGTCCTGCTTCAGAAAGAACTGTGGCAAGACTATGGCCTTTTAAATTCTTTTTTTTTTATTTTTAATTCTGTAAATAGGAACTATCATTAACCATAACAAGCAAATTTAACACTAAAAAAATTGTTTTGTTTTCCAGAAGAGGATTTGCCAAGAGCTGGGGTGAAGTTGCTCAGTAGGGACACCTATATTGTGCAAATACATTGCTCAGAATTAAATATTATCTTGTGATACTTGTAAAGTA